TAACAAAATACGTTAATTTTGAAATATATTCAATCCTAAAAATGAAATCACTTCTAATAATTGGATTATTAGAAATTAAAGAATTTGTATCTTCTAATCATATTATCTTTCCTAAAAAAACTTCTTCTAAATCTTAATATGGCATGATATCATTGATAAAAAAATATCAAATTAATATTTAAGTAAAGAAAAAGGAAAAGCAAGATATCATAACCCATTATTGAAAAATCAATTAAAAAGAAGATAACAAATCTAATGATGATATAATTTATCTTTATTCAGCAAATATTTCTCATCATCAATACATATTATAATATTTCATGGCATTTGTTTAATAAGAATCAAATTTGCAAATAGAAAACTTCCAGTAATTATTATAGATAGTTAGTTTCATATTTAAAATAATGATGTTGTTTTGATAGAAATAAAGGATATTAATGCTTCTTAGTATAGTTAGTTTAAATTAGATTTTAGCACTTTATTTTAAGTAATCTCATTTTGATGTTTTCATTTTATTGTTAAAACAACTAAGAAGCTGATTCAAATTTGAAAAAATAAAATAACATTATTCTAAATATTTTTGGTAAACAGCAATTAATTATAAATAAATATAATGTCAAAAATTTAATTTTGAAAGAATAAGGATAAATATCGAAGTATTTATGATTAAGAGAATTAGTGAATATTAAGTTGAATTAAATTTTTGATTTCTGCTAAATTTATAAATGATTTGGCACAAGGATGATTTTTTCTTAAAAGTATTTTATTTCTTTTTATTAAGTATTGTATATCGTTGAAATAAAGTTAATTTGAATATCAAATACACCTTAATAATTATTTATTTGTTAAAGAGAGCTTAAATCCAATTCTCTTAGATTTTTTGAACATATTCTACTGTTGTACCAACCAAATACCAAAATTCCTAATATTTAATGCTGAATTTTAAGTTGTCGGATGACAATAATTAATATTATCTTTTAAAGTGATATCTTGCTACTTAATTTTATATCTACATCATGGTTTCCTTCATTTATTCTCAATTTTTTATATTATATAAATGTATAAAAACTTTTATAATAGGTTCAAATACATCTAACTAAATAAAAAATGTTTTAAATAGGAATTCTAATCATAAATTTGTCATAAACTTTAAGCTTAAATAAAAATCTAAACAGCCTTAATTGTTTTTAGATCATTACGATTGAGTCTCATAAGATTTAATTTAATAATATAGTTATAGGATTTATTAAGGGAAAATTTGTCATAAAAAAAAATCTTCATGAAATACTTCAATACCTTCAAAAGTTTCTTGGTGACTATTAAAAAGTTTAAGATAGATATTTAAAAAAATCGAAACTTAATTTTTAATAAAATTAAAATCCCCCCAAAATTTAAAAAAAGGTCTAAAAAATTATATACTATATAATTAGATATCATTAGAATATATTGAATAATAATTAATAACCTTTAAATGAAGACAGTGATGAGTTAATTAAAGAGGTTGTAAATGAGATTAGTAAGGCAGGAAGACAAGTTTATATTCATATATAAGGTGTATTCTTCAGTTTGATACCTTTTTTGGATAATAGTCACTGAAAATATAAAATTTATTGGCTTGGTTCATTTAATGAGATTGGAAAATAATATTCTTCTAGTTAGGTTACAGAACCCTCTATGGAAGGATACTAAGTAACTTTAATACTAACTAATTGCTTAAGCAAACAGGAGAGACAAATTGACCAAATAATTTGGTAAGAATGAGAATCAAAGTAAAGCTTTTAAAAGAAAAATGTTGGGAAGAGAACATTGTTGGATGTTAATTTTTAAATGGCAAATGCATGGTCAAAAAAAGAGTTAAAATATTAGAGAAAAAAAAAATGATTGCCAAATAATGAAAAGAAATATTTGAAAATTAATAAAGTAGATAGAACTAGTATTAGATCTTATTAGCTAGATGCTATATATAACAAGCTAAATGAATTGGAACAAAAGTACTATTAAATCGATAAGAATCTAAGATAAGCTTTCACTAGTAGAGCCTATAAAAATTAGTTTTCTCACATTCACCTGTGGATACCCGTTGTGGATTTATGTTCCAGAGACAGTGATGGAAGAAGATTTTAGAAGCTTGTAATGATAAAATGGTGCTCTATTTTACCCTTCTTGATAGGAATTATAAGAAGTTCCCAAATGTTTTTTCAAATTCAATAGTCATCTTTTAAATAAACTCTACTTGAAGATGATGGAAGAAATCCCTTACAAGTAAAATTGTTTCGGAAATTAAACTATAGAATTGCCATGATCAATAACAACAATCCTATGGCTTATTTATGTAAAAATTTCCTCTTCTATCCCTTAAACCGATATGATCCTACTTATAATAGTAGAGTCTGATTTGACTAAGAAGAATACAAGTTTTTTTATCTCACATAAACCTATTAAGGGAAAATCTGCCTTGATCAACATCTAATGATGGATGAATATGCTGAATTTTGATGAATGTTATGGGACCTAGGCAATTGTCGAAGAAAAAGAAACAAATCTATAAAATAGAAAAAGCCAAATAGCAGTTCATTCAGGTCTCAAAAAAGTAAAATATTGTCAAAAGTTTTCAGCAAAAATGAAGAATACTATAATATTTTCTTAATCTATTTCAAGATTAAATCTGAAAAAGATTTTTTAAGCCTCCTAATACATTCATCATGAATAAGTTAATTTCTATGATTAAATTTATAAAGAAAATGATTCGATTTATGGCTATTGATGTTAATCTAAAAAATTATTTTTGAATGCTGAAATTAAGGTTGATTCAAGCACTCAATTGGTTAATTTTCAAATCAAATATTTCAAATATTTACCCTCAAATAACTGCAATAATTCAATTTTTTTTCTTGCCAATTAATGTTTTTGAGCTATATTTTTTTAGTAGAGCATGAGATTAGGTTTGAAAGACTAATATAGTCAATAATAGTGTAAGCAATGGAATAAACTAAAAATTGCATGATCAAAGCATTATTATTTTAAGCTTACAACTACTTTTTATATTCTCACAACTACAGGAAAAATTGAGAGCAAGTTGCCATTTGTCTAAACTGTATCATACTAATTACTTTTATTCTTTTTTATGATGATATATTGTTTCTAAGAGTAAAAATCTATGGTTATGCGAAAGAAAACAATTTAGTTTTTTTAAGAATTTTGATTCTTAGTTGAGGGATCCTATATTATAAAATTTCTAATAGAAATTTATCGGTAACTTTTCATAAATATGTTTTGGTATAAAAATAATTTTTCCTGAATATTGATAGATAAATCATATATTATAAAATTGTTCAGATTTGTTGTTTTATGAATAAAAAGGTAGTTAAAAGAATGAATAGTACAGAGTTTAGTAAAAAAGTTAAAACTTTCAAATTGATTTTATTAATCAAGTTCAAGCAAAAAATATTTTTTTATTTATTCACTATTAATTGTACAAACTATACTCAAACCCATGAAGTAAAAACTAGTAATCAAAAAAATTATGTTATTATTTGAAATTTATGTTATTTTAAATCATTTTGAAATGGTTATCAAATATACTATAATACAAATATTTATAAAAATTAGATGATAGAATTAGAATGGGATTACGAGAGATAAAGGGAAATTGAATGATATATAATTACATTAATTAATTTAAATAAAACACATGAATATCTTAAATCAAAAACAAATACAGGAAGCATCCGAAACAATATGTAAAACTCATAATCAAGAATTGATTGCAGTTGATCTAGACTTATCAGATAAGGCACAAATTTAATTCTTTTGTGGTAAATGTTTAGTTGAGAAAATTAATAACCATAAAGTGAC